GTTCAATGCCATTTATCCTTTTAAAATAGTCTCTTTTCCTTCAGGAATATGTCCCTCTGACTTCTTCTGGCTTTAGCCATATGCTAGACAGTAATTTGATTTTTATGCACATCCAGGTAATAAATAGGTGATAAATAATCTGTCTGTGCCCCTCTTTGTATTAGACTCTCCACAGGCCCATGCAGCCTAAGCACCAATTACTTCTAAGCAGGAAAATAATAAAACATGTTGCCAAGTTTATTCCATTATGCACTCTGTCTTCTGTCTCATTCCACAGGATGCAATACAAGCGCCTGCTCCCCGGCCAAGACAACATGTGAGCCAGGGTACAAGCTAGCCACAACCCTTTCAGATGGGGACTGCTGTGTCAACTATACATGTGGTAAGATGCTTTGCTGCTTCTGACCTCTGGGTTATAAAAGGCTTTAATTTCAATTTCCAAGGGGATAGGGAGTTAGAAGATATTCGAGAAGAAAGCTAGGTGAGTGCATTTTACATTTTTTTAAAAAAAACACCTTACTGAATTATATATATAAAAAAGTGTGTGTGTATGTTCATACTCTGGCAATTTTAAAGGTTTTTTTTAAATTTTTATTTCATTTCTCTAATGAATTGATTTTTTTCAGAACCAATACCAGATGTCTGTGTGCTTAATGGAACTATTTACAGGGTAAGAACAGTCCTATTATACCAAACATACTAATATACACTAGAGAGGTTTAATATTCGTTAACTGAATTATCAATTGACCTCATGAATTCTTATCGGTTACGCGACTATTCGATAATCCCCAGGGGGCAGGGCTGACAGCCAGTGCGCTCTGGCCTCACTCCTGAGGAGCCCCCTACAGCAGCATGGGGTGCCAGGCGGAGCTGGATCGCAAGGGGAGCCAGTTTAAAAACCAGCTCCCCTCACGGACCAGCTGCCTGTTGCCTCACACTGCTGCCTCTGATACAGGGAGGGGTCAGAGCTCCCAGGCCCAGTGCAAGCCAGAACTGAACCAGGCTGCCTGCCCACTTGGCTCCTAATACACTTTAAATACAGAGCCACAGCAAGGGTATGTCCTGGATCTATTGCAAGCCAGGACTGTGCTGGGCTGTGAAGAGGAGGGGAAGGGGGATGTGTACATTAACCAATAAGCTTTTGCTCAACAAGTAATTAGTTGATTGACTACACTATTACATCCCTCATATACCCTGCTATAGACTGACTTCTACAGCATTAGGAATTATTCCTCATTAGGAATTTCTGGGATGGAGTTCTTTATCTCTTGCATATTAAATAACCTTTGTATCATGTTTGCTTTTTGGTTGCTAAGCCAGATCTGAAGTAGATTTTGTTTCTTCAAGTGCCAAAAAAAAATATGTTTTAGAGGAACTCCCTTTGAACGAGGAGCAAAAGTAAAAACTTAACCATTTTTACTGGGGTGGGGGTGAATTAGTTTTTTTGTCCATTCTAGATGAGAGAGAGACAATTTGCTGTTGGAGCAGAATTTTAGAAGTCTTTTTGTTGTTGTTTTTTGGGAGGGAGAAGGGAAAAAAGAACTGAAGTCTCTCAGAAATAAATCTAGGACTTAGACCTAGACATCCAAGCTGAGACCTTAATGTCTCAGTCAAGAGCTACTCCTTGAGATTACAGCTGCCATCTTGGAACGTGATGTTGGGTCAAATTTTCAAAAGAGGCCCGAAGTCCCTCTTTAAAGAATGGGTACATATGTATGCTTATGCAGTTGGACACATCCACTGCAGTGGGTAGATGTTTTAATATCTATTTGCAAGTGATGACTGCTTCACTTGCTCTGAAGACAATTCATAATGGAAAGCTTCTGTGCAAAATACTGAAGTGGCTCAAACCAGTCCTACCTTATATCCAAACTCAGCATATTCTTTTGAACATTCTTGGTATGTTCTTACCAATCCTCTACTAGCCTAAGTATTTTGCATTATTTCAACTGGCTTCTCCCTCTCCATACTTTCTGCACTGGCCCCACATTTTTATATGTCCCATGTAGCACAATTGCTATTTTGCTGTCCATTGAGTAATTCAGTTTCACCTGTGCTTCAGCATCTTCTATGTCCACAGAATTGCTTTACATCACCTCCAGGCATTATGAGAGAATGTACCATAGAGTTCCTTAAAATAATGAGATATGCTCAGACTGAACATTCTGTCTTTGGCTTCTCCCAGCCTGGAATGTCTGTTCCAAGAGATGTTTGTGAGACATGCATCTGCAGTTCTGAAGTAGATCCAGCCTCCAACAAAAACCTTCTGCAATGCAAGCCAGTCTACTGTAACACCACTTGCCCCCTGGTAAGTGCCATTTCTTTTTTCCCCTCCCTGTTAGTTTCTAAACTGACAAATATGGCAGTCTCTCTTATGGACTCAACATATTTTCTCTCTCTCATTTCATGAATAGGGTTTTGAATATATGATAAAAGATGGAAAGTGCTGCGGAGACTGCATTCAGGTGGCTTGCACAATCAAACCCGAGAATACCACTGTCCAGGTGCTCAAGGTAACTATTTCCTTTGAGTCTCACTTTGCTTTGTTTTAGACCATAACAGAGGGTAAGCACTGACAAAAGCAAGAGACAACTCTCAACCAAATTATGTCCATTCTTAGTTACAGCCGGGTATTTTGTACATTTATTCTAGCTGGACTCACATGTGGCTCACACCAGATTTTGATGCTCAGATGAACAGTGAAAGGGGTAAAATATCAATTTCAGGCTTCTAACTCCAGACCTCAGTATTTAGGTCGTAGTCTCCCCACCTAGGCAATGAAATTTGAAACAGCCACCCATGTTTAGTGTTTCCGAGGAAGTTAAGAGGGTACAAATGAATCCCCTCTAGGTAAGATCATGAAATTACTCATCAGAAAAGCCTGAGCCAGTCTTTGTCACAGTAATCGTACTGCACTTACCACATTTATATCACTGATCACCTCAGAAAAGAAATAATGCTAAATTTGCTTTATTCCTAATGTCAGCCAGGTGAACTATGGAAGCCTGCAGGGGATCCGTGCACATCTTACAAATGTGAAGAAATTGAAAATCAGTTTGTTTCGGTCACTATTCGGACAGCATGTCCTGTCTTTAACCCAGAGGACTGTGAGCCTGTAAGTTTGAATCAGTCCTTTATTGTTTGCTAGTTGTTGAGTGCTATGAAGCAGAACCAGGGGCAATGGATACAATACAATCTCAGACAACATGGAACCAGTATCTCTCGTTATTGATGGCTCCCACTGTGTAAACAGTCATTTATCACCAATGGTTTCAGACTGAACTCGGCCAGTATCAATTGTAACAATCTCCCCTTCCCCAAACAGCCCTGTCACGCCCCTCCCCCCCAACAGCCCTGTCAGTAAGGTTGACAGCCATTGAATGCCCTGAGGCAAGGCGTGAGGGAGGTTCTCTGGCCCTCAGAAGGGGTAGGGCCTCATGCGGAAGGGGTGGAGCCACAGTCCGCCAGTCCTCAGCACCGCCCAGGCCATGGCACTGTGAACCCCTCCCTCTGCCTGCCCAGCCTTTAGAGCCACATGGAGCACTGTGTTCCTGTGGCAATTCAAAGAGCTTCAGCCACATACACAGCTAATGCTAGAAAGCTTTTGACTTGTCATCCATACAATAATTCTGAAGCCTATCTCTTTGTTCCTGCACTGAAGGATGAAGTACAGCTGACTCCTGATGGCTGCTGCAAAACGTGTAACCCTAAAAGTAAGTGAAGCTATTTTCTGATGCTCTGCCTTCAAGAGATTATGTATAATTATAGTATTTCTAACTATTTTTGCATGGAATGGGGAGGTGGAAGTTTCCTCTGGAATCCCCACTCAGATTTTCTTTCCAAAGGCCCCCATTACACTGACTAAGCCTCCCAAAGATACTCCCTGTCCTATCCAAGTTCTGTTTATACTGCCTCTGCAGTTGAAAGGTCCTAACCATAGCATGTTATGCAGGAATCTGACAGAATCAAACATCGTCCTCTCAGAACATGAAGCTTAGCTGCAACTATGAAGGGACATGAAGCATTTCTATTTATTTTTTCCCCTCTTTCTTGATCACCAGACTGCAGGGTTTACAAGAACTCCACTATGATCCGCCACAATGACTGTGAATCTCCTAACCCTGTTGAACTGACATACTGCAAAGGTGCTTGTGCCAGCTCCTCCGTGTAAGTGGCAGCGAGTTCATTAGATCCCCTTACTTGTGTCTTTCTTTGTCACCTCTTTTCATCCAACTGCGCAAGTGGAGTTGAGCACCAAGTCGCCTATTCACTTTCAATTACTTTAATATACACTCGAAAAGCAAGTGGCTTTGTTGAGTGGGTTGGCGTGTGTATCTGAAGGATGTTTTGGTGTTCGAGGGAGCAGAAGAGTGCTCATGCTATACTACAGCAGTTATCTCCTGTCACTTTGCCTGACACACAATATAACATGTAGTGCCCAGTGTTAAACAGGCAGGCTCACAGAGGTAAAAACTTGTTCAAGTCACAAAGCAGCATGTCGAATATCTGATAGCAAAGCATCCCGAGGAACAAAAAGTACAATAGTGAAAAAGATGCACATTGTGCTTCTGAATCTCCTCTGACTTATACCATTGTAAAATTGATAGAACTTCATTGTGCAGTCACACCTGCTCTATCAGAGTGGCTAAAGAGAATCAGATCCTGTATTTAGGAACAAGCCATTACTGCTATTTGGCAAGTAGATGCCATCATCTATAAATTGCCTCATTCTTCCTACTAGTTATTTTTTAGGCTGCCTTGATTTTTCCCTCTCTCATACATACTCAGAACTTTCAGCCCTTAAATAATGATGAAAGTCAGTGGAGAGACTAGAAAACTCAGACTAACAGTGCAAAATTTGCTCTTTCATGTTTCTATTGAGCTATACACACACATGCTTGAAAGCTGGCAATAATGGGCCCAATCTTGCTCCTGTTAAAATTCAAGGGGGCTTTGCCAGAGAGCTCAGCCAGAGCAGGCCATTTTTTAAGTTGGCAATAGTTAGCAGAGGTTGTATGCTCTATGAAGATGCTCACAGAAGGGTGTAATTTTCTTTCTTCATCTGTCGGGGCAGGTATTCCTTCGCAACACAGCAGTTGCAACCCAACTGTTCCTGCTGCCAGGAACTCAAGAGCCACAAGAAACAGGTGACCCTGACATGCCGCAGTGGAACAACAATGAATTATGACTACATCTATGTGGAACAGTGCCAGTGCACGGCTGCATGCATTTCTGAAACCACTATCACACAACAGCTCCAGTATGAAAATTAGCAGTGAAGAACAAGATGATCAGAGGGAAAAGAAACCCAAGAGCTCTACAGCATTTAAATAATAACATAGAAAAAATAACCCATGAGCAATCTTAAAACTCTTGCTTCTTACTTTTTCCAGCTTCCATTATCACCATTTTTCATTTGTTAAATGTGAGAATGTTTGCCAAATAATTAGGTCTTTATATATTTTTTTATTTCTAAACAGATTGTGAAGGGAAAGAATGAACAAAAGTATAGCTTGTATTGTTAGAGTCTTGAATTAAGCCTAAAGTTACTTTCCTTTCCTCTCTGAAGTTTGGAGGCCATTTAGTTATATCTTTTTTACATTTTTTTAAGTCTTCTCATTGTTTCAGTGAATCAGCCAATATGGGTTTGAGAGAGGGAGTGTCTAAAAATGAAAACCGCTTAAAAATATCCCTACTTAACAGTATGGGAATTTGCAATCATTCCAGTAAATTGTTTACAACATTGTTTTGGCAAGAAATAGAAGGCTGGCTCTTTTTTTTAAAAAATGGTGATAGTGAGCTAATGTTTTCTATAGAAAACTTAATTTTGTAGTTACAGTGCACAGTCCTTTGCTATTTATTTGCGAGTAGAGAAATAATTTTATTGAGGGAGTCACTGTCTATGGACTTAAGATTTTATATGGTGTTAGCAATGTGGCAATCTTTTCTTGTTCATTTTGTTCTTATGTGATTAATAAAACTTGCAGCATTTTTCAACTTTGATGACTTTGCTGTTTTCACTTGTTGACTTTGGTTGTACCTCAGGAGGGTTCATGCCTCAGATAACTACAAATCCACTCCCTAATTACACTGGGGCAGGGAGGCAAATCCTTTGTGAAAATCCTTTTCAAGGGCAACATACTCCCTGGCCTGCACACACCTGACCAACTCTGTTGATTGGCCTGTAGGGTGACCATAGGCCAATGGGCATAGGGTGACCATATTTTCCTAAATATGGGACACCTGGTAAAATTACTCATTTTCATCAATGGCAATCAGTCAGAACTATGCAATACAAATGTTCAAATTAGCATCAAGTTGACGGAGCCTCTGTTAAAAAAGAACATCTGCATAGCTAGAGCCTTTTGATTTACCTACTTACCTTTGAGGTTTGCGTGGAAGATGTGACACACACACACATTCCATACACCTCTCTCACACGGGGATGGGGTTGACTGACTGACCTGACTCAACCTTTCCTGCATGGTGCTCTCCAACCTCCCTGTTTGGCTTGGCCCCTGGGATGGACCCTCCCCTCCTGATGGGACCTGACATCTTCTCAAGGTAAAAGGGAACTAGATACATTCATAGAAGTTAAGTCCATCATTGGCTATTAGCCAGTATGGGTAAGAAATGGTGTCCCTAGCCTCTGTTTGTCAGAGGGTGGAGATGGATGGCAGGAGAGAGATCGTTGATCATTGCCTGTTCGATTTACTCCCTCTGGGACACCTGGCATTGGCCACTGTCGGCAGACAGAGTACTGGGCTGGATGGACCTTTGGTCTGACTCAGTATGGCCATTCCTATGTTCTTATGTGGGAGAGGAGGGTATACAGGGTCACATGACCCCTCCCCAGGTTTTTGTCAGGGTTCACTCCAGAACACGGCAAGCAGCAGCTTTTTGTCACTGTGCAGGAGGGAAGGGATGGGAGCTGCTTCCAGTGGAATGGGGATGGTCTGGCCCATGTTTTTCCAGAGATCAGCAAACAGCTCCAAGCTGCGGCTGGCAACCGACACAACCCAGCTGCCTCCTGGCTAAAGCACGGGCAGGAAAGAGTTAAACCATATGGCTGCATTGAGCACAAAGGCCCAGGAAACCAGACTACTTCACAGAACCTCCTTGACTGAATTGACCTCTTTATCTCTGGCCTTCCTCTTGATTGGTACTCCTTTCTTTTCATGTGCCTGTGTATTTATACCTGCCTCTGGTATTTCCACTACATGCATGTGACAAAGTGGGTCTTTGCCCATGAAAGCTTATGCTCCAATAAATCTGTTGGTCTAAGGTGCCACAGGACTTCTCATTCTTATGCAAATTCAGACTAACACGGCTACCCCTCTGATACTAGACTTCTTAGAATTATTTGAAGCTACTTTATAAAATGACCCATTTAGTACTTTCACTTCATATGTGGCTCACTTGCCCTCCTGTTTCAGTTGCCAAAGTACTGTATTCCTAGGAGACCAAATGCCAGTACAGGTGAGACTATTAATTACTCGCTAATCTCAGGAGAGGGTTGAAATCCTACAGCACATACAAAATTTAAATACAATAGACAAAGGGAGACTGGATGGCTCAGGGAAAAAACAATGAAATATAAATCGCTTCACCTTTGTCACTAAAAGTATTTATTATTTTACAGGGTACATCTTGGGTTAGTAGGGACCAAAGTTAATTTCTGTCACTTGGCTGCTCAGTGGCAAGTGAAATGAATGTGATTATATCTCAGTGCAGTCCTCAGTGGACATGTTGCCACATCATAAAAAAACTGTAACTGGCAATATTGTAAAAACTTAAAAACCAATGAATAGCCTTGCAGCACCTTAGAGACTAACAAAACATGTAGATGGTATTATGAGCCTTTGTGGGCACAACCCACTTCTTTAGATGAATGGAGTTTGAGGGGTCCAGTTTTCAAACAAATAGCATAGAAAGTAAATGGTGGGGAGAGAGAAGGAAAAAGGAGGGGGAAAAGGGGAGAGAAATTGTCAATTAGAGTGTCCATGCTAAATGAAGCTGATAAGAGCACTTAGTACCCACTCTAAGTACCCTTTGTTTGTTTTTTTATTTAATTAGGATGTAGAATGTAGTGGGCCAGCCAGCCAATGTCTGTTTATGCCTCTGTTGTAGGAATCAAACTTGTAAATGAAATTAAGTTCTGTAGCTTCCCTGTTGATCTGGCTTTTGAAAATGGTTTGAAATAATACAGTGACTTTAAAATCCATTAGTGAGTGCCCACGTAAGTTAAAATATTCCAACAGGTTTCTGTGAATTGTCTTTTCAGATATCTGATTTATATCCATTAATTCTTTCCTGTAGAGACTGTTCAGTTTGGCCAATATACATGGCAGAGGGGCATTGCTGGTATTTGATGGCGTAGATCACATTAGCCTCTGCTGTGGTGGTTTACATGGTTAGGTCCTGTGATGATATCACTTGTACATTTGTGTGGACAGAGTTGGCATCAGAGTTGATTGTAGGGGTAGGTTCCTGGATGATTATGAAGGAGGTGTGCTGCATGGTTATTGGAAAGAATTTGTTTGAGGTTAGTAGGTTATCTGTAGGCAAGGATTGGCCTTTCCCCCAAGTGAGGGGTCATTTTCCAGGATAGGTTGTAGATTGTTGATAATATGTTAGAGGGGTTTAAATTGGGGGCTGTAGGTGATAACAAGTGGTATTCTGTTGTTTTCTTTGTCAGGCCTATCTTGAAGTAGCTGATGTCTGGCTATTTGTCTGGCTCTGTCAATCTGTGGGTTTTTTTCCACTTTTCCAGGTGGGTATTTCAGTTTCAGTTTTGTTTGTCTCAGTCTATGGGGTTTGAGCAAATTTGGTTGTACGTTAGGGCCTGGCTGTAAACAATTTATTGGGAAATGTGTCTTGGATGGAAGCTAGAGGCACTTAGGTAAGTGTAACGGTCGGTAGGTTTCCAGTATAAGGTGGTGAAAATGTCTGTCATGTAATTGTACTGTAGTGTCAAGGAAGTGGATCTCTTGTGTGGGCTGGTCCGGATTAAGGTTGATGGTGGGGTGGTGGCAATACTGTACTTAGTGCCAGTTGTGGTGGGTTTTGTGCTGTAGACATCCCAAAACCAGGTAACAGATGGAAATAAACACATTTGTATTGATTTATTTAAATAGTTACTGTCAATATTTGTATAGCAAGTCCTCTACCTAGTATTTTTGCTGGTAGCCTCAGCTAGGAGAATAAAGAGTACATGGGCATAGGGACCAAATTACTTTCTTGAGATAGCCCCAGTCTGTCACAGTCATAGTTTCTGCCTGATGTACTGATGATGGCACTGAGCATGTCTACCTGCCCTCTGGAGCATCCCACCACCTGTCCTGCTGGGCCAGAAGCTCTGATCATCCCAGCGAAGACACAGAGTTGGGGTAAGAGCCCCCCAGCAGAGCAGCACAGACATTGAACTAGCTCATCAACTAGCTCATCTCAGCTATAAGATCTTGACAGTATCCAGGAACGCAACCCTCAAAAGAGACCAAACATCAGATAAATCCATCTTACTCTGTATAAAAAAGTCTCACACAGAGAAAGCACATAAGGCTTGCTCTCTATCAATGACAGAGAGATATGTACAGTAGTTGCTCCCCCCAGGTAACAAGTCTTTACACTGGGCTTGATAATAAACAAAAAGTGTTTTTATGAAGTATAAAAATTGAGATTTAAGTGATTGCAAATGAAAACAGACAGATCAAAGTAAGTAACTAAGCCAAAAAAACAAAACATGCCAATTAATACACTAAGATATTTGTTACATGCCAATTCTTAGACCCTGGTAGTTGTTCTAATCACCTTCTTCACAAGCTAGGCAGCCTCCTGTCTTGGTCCTGATCCTTCCCATATTTAGTTTTATATGTTTCCAACAAGCATCTTGGGTGGTAAGGGGAGGGGTCACCTGGCATCTGGCCACTCCCTATTGTTTAGTTTCCCACCTTCATATCCCCTTTGCCCAAAATGGGAATTCTTTGTGTTCAAACTTTTCTCACCTTGAATGAGAAAATACAAGACCCAAAATGGGTTCCAGCATCAGGTGGCCTGGCAGGACCATTGACAGATCATTGGTTTGAATACCCAGCTGTTATTTTCCACAACATCATTAATGACTCTCATTAGCACATTCAGAATTATAAACAGATCCACACTTCCTATTTCTAAATTCACGTAGAAGAATGTATATTCTATTTCTGAGCATGCATCACTTAGCAGATTGTAACTTCAAAAATATGTGCAACCTCCTTTTTCCTCCCGGTGTTACTCAAGAGCAGGCCATGCTCACCTGTATGCCTGGGCATCTGAGTATCCCAGTGGTGATCCACCCTCTTGCTACAGTCCCTTGCTTCTAAAGGAATATATAATGGTGGTGCCCCCACTTAATGGTGTGCTTTGGGAGCCTCCAGAAATAAACTTATTCCAGTAATAACCTGGATCTAATTCCAAAACAATTACAAATAATATACATCTAATTGATTACATTAGAATTAACACTCCTTTATTTAACTTAAAGAAATCAACTTTAACAGACTAAAAGTGAATAAAATCAACCAATTAAGTGCACAGAAATACTTATCTAACTGCATTTACATTGCCACCATTTATCCCACCCCAGAGAGTACACTCCTCTGGGTCTCAGAGTCCCAGTCTCTTGCTTGCATGGGAGCACTTGAAGATCTGCAACTGAAGAGGAGACAGCACTGTGCAGATTGTGTCTGTCTGTCTGTCCAGGCAGGCAACAACTGCAAAATCCCTCTGCCACTGGAGCAGGCCCAGTGTTTCCAAAATGAAAATTTCACAGAATATTCATGTTGTGGGAAATTTCAAAATTCCACACAAACTGGAATATCTGAGATTAAGTCAGTTCCAAAAATTACATTTTAAGATCTATAGCTGGGAATTTCTAAGAAAGAGTGATAATCAGATACAGATTTATCAATAACTGCATAACCATAACATGAAGATATAAA